TTTCCTTTTTTTTTTTTTTTAATTTAAGTTCTGGAATATAGGAAATAAAAAGTTTATTTACTTTAAAATACTGCCTTTTCAGAATATATATTTCAAATAATATTTTTATATGAAATGAACTCTATATTTTTCTTTCAGTATTCATCTCAGAAACTCAATTAAGTGGTCTTGGGGAAAAAAAAAAATCCTTCCATGTTGTTCCAGGTCCCGTTCAAGAAGTTCTTCCAGTTCGCAGTCAAGATCTCGTTCCAGTTCCAGAGAACATTCGAGATCTCGTGGGTCGAAATCAAGGTGAATTGAGGTAGCATCTCTCTGTAAAGCAGAGAGAAAAAGTATTTAAAGGCTGCAGAAGGTGTTGCTGCTTTTTTTCCTTATTTTGCTTCTACTTGTCAATTTTATTTTAGCATTAGATAACTAATGCACTTGCCTTGGCTTAATTTTCTCACCATGAAATGTTTCCATTGCCAGCAGTGTTCCAAGACATTCCCATGATTGAATTATGGTGGCTATTTTGGATTATTCAAGGTTGGTTATTTCGGATTAAGATATGATGAAGTAGGAAGATGAAGCCAAGAATTATCCCCAAATCTAGTATATGAAAGTTATGTTTATAATTTGAAATAAAATTAGATACGCTAATAAAAAGAATATTTAATCATTATTAAAGGAAAGGAAAAAACACTGCCCAAGGCAGGTTTTCTTTTGTAAGGCATTTGTTTCAGTATTTACAGAAACAACTTTGACATTTATATCAGATAAAAATTCTTAGGGAAGATTGTATACATATAATTTCTCTTTAATTTTACACAGAATATTGTTAACAGTTGAGATAAAACAGATGCTCTTCATAAATTTCACAAACTGAATAAAGTATGGTTGGTTAGTCTAGTGTAGGATATGGTCTTATTTAAGTGTGATTACTTGCTTTTAATTTGTGTTTAGTAAGATTACTGTTGGGAGCCTTCAACTCAATTCTGACTCTGTGACCTATATGACAGACTAGAATTGCCAAATGATGTTTCCTAGACTGTACTCTTTTATGAGAGCAGATTGCCTGGTCTGTTTTCCTAAGGAACAGCTGGGGAGTTCAAATCGCCAATCTTTTGGATAGCAGCCAAGTGCTCAGTCATTGTGCTACCAGGGCTTCTTAGACCTATAGACAGAAGCATCATCTATAGAGGAGAAAATGAAACACTAGTTATTACTTTCTGTAGAAGTTTTTCATAATAAAAAATGCTGCCTTTTATTTTTAAGTTAAAGTTTATTGATGTATCTTCGTAAAAATAGTTGTTTATTAACTGTCTTAGTTATCTAGTGCTGCTATAACAAAAATACCACAAGTGAGTGGCTTTAATAAACAAATGTATTTTCTCATAGTTTAGGAGGCTAGAAGTCCAAAGTCAGGGTGCTAGCTTAAAGGTTTTCTCTCTTAGCTTGCTCTGGAGAAAAGTCCTTATCTCTTTAAGCTTCTACTACTGTGTGATCTTCATGTAGGTTAGTATCTCTTTTCCCGCATCTCTGCCATGCTCATTTGTTTAGTCTCTTTTATATCTCTAGAAATTGATTTAAGACAGGACCCTGTACTAATTCTGCCTCATTAATATAACAAAGATACCACATTCTCAAATAGGAGTATAACCACAGGCATAGAGGTTAGGATTTACACAACATTTTTGGGGAACACAATTCAATCCATACCATTCTACTCTTTGGCCCACCAGAATTCATGTCCTTGCCATATGCAAAACGTATTCATCCCATCGTCATCCCAAAAGCCTTAAACACTTTGAATCTCATCTTGTGGATCATCCTTGTCAAATATGGGTGACTTTAGGTTTAATCCATCTTGGGACAAATTCTTCTTCATCTGTGAACCTGTAAAATCTAGACTACAAGTTACCTGTTTCCAAAGCACAGTGGTGGAACAGCACAAGGTATACATTTTCATTACAAATGGGAGAAATAGGAGGGAAAGAAGGGATAATAGGTATTTAGCAAGTCCAAAACCCAACAGAACAATTTACATTGGCTCTCAAGACTTAAAAATAATCCTCTGTTCTCTGAGACCATCTAGACAGTGACCCAGCTATTAAAACTGAGTATTGGCCATACTCTCTGGATTCTCTGGTAGCATAGTGGCTAAGACACTTGCCTGCTAACCAGACGGCTGGCGGTTCAAACCCACCAGCCACTCCTTGGAAGGAAGGTTGGGCAATCCTACTTCTGTAGTGATACTGCCTCGGAAACCCAAGGAGGGGTCGCTATGAGTCAGGGCTGACTCGATGGCACATAACAACAACAACAACAACTCTGGATTCTGAGTGGAGGCCTCTCGGTCCTAGGCTTCCATTGTATCATCCAGACACACTGGGATGGGGGACCTTATATCTTCGGCTTTGAGCAGCCCCATTCTCTTAGTCTGTCTGAGCGGCACCCCCACCTTATCAGTTCCAGCAGGCCTCATTCTTCACTGTGGGCACAGTAGCCCCACCCCCCTCAGGTTTGGGCAGTAGCCCTATCCCTTTGGCCAAACTGAATGGCAGCCTCACACTCCAGAACTAAGTTGGGGAAGATGAGACTCTTTGAAACCTGGGAGGCTATAGCTCTACCCTTTGACACCTGAGAGTGTATGGCCCCATCCTGTGAGACAAAGACAGCTCAACCTTCTGTGTTCATTCTAACAGTTATGGTCATCTCTGAGCTGCTGTAGGGATAGTCTTATTCCATTTTTGGAGGATGCCACATGTAGCTCTTTTGGCCTGTTTCTTGCCTATGGAATTCCAAGAGGCAGACAGTGTTCTCCGCTTACCTGCTTTCTCTGTCCCCTTTAATCTAATCTGATGAGTTTCCTGTTGCGGTAGTTGGTTAGATCCATTAGTTACAGACATAATCTCTTTAACCAGAGATTATGTAGCTATATCCTTGGTTTAAATTCTAGGATATGCATATTTCATTTGTACAACAGAATTTCCCATATCTTTAAGTTTTGTTCTCGTTTTGCACAGTTCATTTTTTAAGTCCATCTCTCCTTTCAGATCATAAGTGTGTAGGAGGAACCCCACGACTCCTTAAAGATCTTGCTTAGAAATCTCCTCAGCCAGATATCCAAGTTCAACACTCCACAGAAGTTCCTTCCACCAAACACTTGAACATAATTCAGACAAGTTCTTTGTCACTGCATTAGAAAGTGTTAGCCTTCATCCATTGTCAAATCTTTTACTTAAAAAAAAAGCTTCACCAGAAACACATTTGACATTGACATTTTTAGCAACATTCTGTTTGTTGCTGGTGCATATATATTTTCTAAGACAATAAAGACTTTAGCTCTCCTGTGTCCTTCAGAGCCTTCACCAGAATTGACTTTGATTTACATAATTCTACCAAGAGTCTCTTCAAAGCAATCTAGGCTTTTACCATTAAGCACCTTAAAACTCTTACAGCCTCCACTCATTACCTACTTCCAAATCTGCTTGCACATTGTAGGTATTGGTTAGAACAGTACTTCTATTCCTTGGTACCAGATTCTGTCTTAGTTATCTAATACTGCTATAATAAATAAAAGTGGGTGGCTTTAACAAACACTGATTTATTTTTTCACAGTTTAGGAGTCTAGAAGTCCGAATTTAGGGTGTCAGTTCTTAGGTGAAGGCTTTGTCTCTCTGTCAGCCCTGGAGGAAGGTCTTTTTCTCTTTGGAGCTTCTGCTTCTGGGTGATCTTCATGTGGCTTGGCATGTCTCTTCCCCCATCTCTGCTTCTGTTGCTTTCTTATTTAATCTCTTTTATATCTTAGATTGATTTAAGACACACCCTAAGCTAATCCTGTCTCATAACAAAGACAGCTCATTCCCAACTGGGATTATAACCAGAGGCATTAAGGTTAGCACTTATGGCACATATTTTTGGGAGACACAATCCATAACACTGACTTACTAAAGCTGAATCTGCTAACATTAGAGTACAACTGAAATACAACAGTATTAAGGAGAAAGGAATGACATACACATCTATTAAGCTAATACAAAAAAGAAAGCATATATGGTTGTATTAATGATGTATTATTGTTAGTCATTTTATTTTAGTGCTTCTTAGATGAAAATCCTTAAGCTCTAGTATTCCTTTGGGAAGCACTATAATTAAGTTTTACAGGACAGCCTTCATACTCTTCCTAAACATTTTTCATTGCTTATAACTTTCCAAAGAATTCTCCTTTTGGGCTTTCTGATTTTATTTTAAGCCCAAAGGTGAATTTTTTGGGAAGTTTGAGCTAAATCCCTTCAACCATAATATGTAAATGAAGAAGAAAAATTTTTGCATTTATACATTTGCACATTTATTTCTGTCTGAAACATGTGAATGTCAACACTTCATATTTCATGAATAATGGTCCTTCATGAAAATAAATATTGAAAATATAAATTAAATTTCAAAAGTTACTCATTATATTTTTCTTGACTATTTAGTAATTTAGTAAATTGTTCTTCCTTTTTCTTGTCCCCTATCCCTGCTTTTTCTATAGCAACTTCAGTAATGAGTTAACGTAATTTCACATGGAATTATTATGCTTCAAGAAGTTGTATATGAAATACCTACTTTTCCCCAAAGTAGAAGATGTATTTTCCAAACATAAAGTCTTGGTTTTTCTATTTGTGTATAATTTTAAATGCTTTTAAAAAAAAAAAAAAAGAATCTTCAATTCTATTTTAATACACTTAGCTGGTTTTCAGTTACACAGTATGAGACTTAGAATTTTAAAAAGAGATGAAATTAAAATAATTGTACTTAAGTAGACTTGTTTCATGGTTGAACCAGAAGTCTTCTGTTGAATAAGCAGTAAGTACTCCTTAAACAGTTTTCATAGTTGTTATAAATCCCCTGTTTTGATATTTTTGGAGCTATGTGTTAGCTGAACAATCTGCCTTACTTCTTTATTTAATAAAATGTTTGATTTGTTTCTCAATCAATGAAGATCCAGCTCCAGGTCCCACAGGGGCTCTTCTTCCCCACGAAAAAGATCTTATTCAAGCTCATCATCATCTCCTGAGAGGAACAGAAAGAGAAGTCGTTCTAGATCTTCTTCATCTGGTGATCGCAAAAAAAGACGAACAAGATCACGGTCACCCGAAAGGTTTGGGTTTCTGTAGAAATAAGAATGGGTGTTCTTAAGTGTGTTTAGTAGATTAACTAAACTTTCTAGTCAAGAATTAGATTTTTATTATTTTCTTTACTTAAACTCTAAAATGTACTTTTGACTGTTGTGCTTCAAAAAACAGACTAATTGCTATGTTTTTCCTGCGTGCTTTAATTAGGTTGTTTAGAAAAGTTGTGAATCAAACTATTCTCTTCAACTCTTTGACAGTTTTGTTTAAATCTTTATTTCCATATTTAATTATTATAGCCAACTCTCGGTTATTTCTGTCTTTTAAGATTTTGATTCAGAAGCTGTATGTTGAAGTAATTTAGTGGTTAATACTTATATGTATAAATTTATGCTATTTTTTAAGTAATTGGAAATCATAGGTATTCTAGGGCTTTTAATAAAATCTAACTATTCAACATTATTGGGATTCTGTGCTTACGTAGATAAATGGAAATACATTTCCACAGCATATTATTTAATGCCCTTTGTCTATAAGGAAATTGTTCCTTTTTCTGATACATTTTTTTTATATTACAGCCCAAATCTATTTTTTAGATAAAGACCATTATTAGGTTACTTTATATGCATTGGCATTTTTAAAATCTGAAGAATGCGGTTGTCATCTGTTAGCCTTTTCTTCAACAGGCTAATTGATTACTCAGTTTCATTAACTTCCTCATGGTTTGCAATGTCTTAATAATATAGTCATTTTAATGACTTCATCTGTAATCTTTATAAATTTCCATGTCCGTATAAAGACTTAGGTAAAGTCTGATTTTTGCTGTATTCAGTGGCAGGGGTACTTCATGATTCCTACTTGTATGGAACAATTCATTTTGTTTTTCCCTTACATTCATTTTGGAACTTAGATGCTAAGGTACACACAGCTACTCTTGTTTTTGTGCATTTGTTTTTCTTTGTAAGAAAATTATTCTGTACATGAGTGAACGTCATTTTGTTGCTTTCTTACCACTTCTGCAAATTTTTATCTTAGCCACATATAATCCCCCCAGTTTGTTGTCATCTAAACTTAATGAACATGTTCTCTATTCCATAAGCCAGGTGATTGGTGAAAACACTAAACAACCCTGAGCCCAGGGCCAACCCCTACGGAACACCACTACTTTACCCAGGTTGATATTGACTTACTCATATTAGCTGCATGAATATAACCCTGTAACTAATTGTATAGTCATCTTGTGTGATCTAGATTTTCACAACTTAATTATTTGTGAATATATTCTCATATACAGAAGCCTTGCTGTATATGTTTTATATATAGACTTATCACACTTTCTACAGTGTATCACAGATTGGTTTAATCACACTTCCATTACCAAGTTTATATGCCTTTGTGGATCATTATCTGTAATTTTATACATTTTTGCAAGGCTTTCTCCTTCATTTCCTTAAATAATTGAGAGGTGGCTATATTTTGCAATGAGAAGATATTTTTTAAAGAAGTAGAATTTTAAATTAGGCTTATACTATTACTGGGCTCACATCCAAAGTCTAAACACCAGATAATTTTATGTGTCTAAGTCTGTATCTTAGTTTTTAATTATTCTCTTTGCCAACATTAAGGTGTGTTTTGTTTTTTATATTCTTGCAGTCTTATGAATGAATACCAGAATCTAGCTCCAGCTTACTGCTTGCATGTTTTCTTTATTATGTCTTGCAGGCACCACAGGTCATCTTCTGGATCGTCTCATTCTGGTTCCCGTTCAAGTTCAAAAAAGAAATAATGTATTAAAATTTACATCTTTAAAAAAAATGAATACAATGCATGAAGCATATTTTTTAAGAAGTTGATGTCTTACTTGGTCAGAAGTGCTAAATCTGCTAGTAGAGGTGCATGCCTTTCATTGCTTTACAGAACAATACAGCTGTGTTTATTTGTGAAATTAAAAGTAAATAGCATTTTAAGCCATAATGCCCCAAAATAGATGCTGTATTTAGCATTCATTATTTAAAACCATTGCTTTATTTAAAACCATCTCAACTATAACAAAGTGCTTTGTTTCTTAATTTGAACTGTTTCATTTCTGAATATGGCTGGTCTGTTTACGAAGACAGAATTACTAAATTTTTCTGAACTTTGAGCATGTTGGCAAGGACTGGTGGTAAACTAGTTAGAAGCCAGCTGTTTAAGTTAACCTGGAAAAAGTACTTGTTTGTGTTAACTTACGTCTAAGTGACTCCTTAGAAAAAAATCTAATCTAAGTTGCAAAAACAGCCAATTAGAAACATCCTTATTTTGAAATTCCTTATGTTAAAAGTTCCTTAGAATCATTGTATTTTTTTTTTTTTTTTTAATGTACTTTTACTTTTGACAACACATTTAATGGAGAAATATCTCGGCGAATTGTAGAAGGAGAAAGTTGTGAATCCTTTCTCTCTTACTCATGCATAATTTTGGGCAAGAAAGAAACGCAGTCTAAAAATTCATTTCTTCTTGTTCATATGGGTGGCTGATGAGAAAAAACATCTTATTTTGAAATGTTTATCTTACTATTTTAAAGAGTTTTATGTGGTATTTTTAAAAAATCTGGTCGTGTGGTGTGGTAAGCAAGACTAAATCATAGTTGTTGAGCAAATTGAAGAAAGCTAAAGTACATTTTTCTTTGGGTAAAAGGCCAACAGAAATATTTTGGGTTTAAGTGAACATTTGCCTTGCGATGTTTAACTGTAAACAGCACTGCATAAAATTTTCTTCTGAAGTACAAATGAATGCTTGTTTCTGTGATGTAAGCAAAAATCATTATTGTTCACATTCGCTTACAGTTATTTATGGCTTAAAATGCTTTCAGAGTTTATTTCTCAAAATTAAAATCTGGTCATTTGAGCTCAATTTTGTCTTCTGGTTTAAAAATAAAAAAGTTTCTTTTAACAGTATCTTCAGTGACAATGCAAGGTAAGTATATTAAGGAAATCAACAGTCTGTGCTTGGGGGCTTTTTGTCAGGGGATAGTGATTTATTTTTCCCCTTAATATTAGTATCTGCTGCAGTTTAAATGAAAATTAAAGCAGGATATCTGGTAGACCTACCAAACAAAATTCTTTTTTTTTTTTTTTTTTTTAAATGAGTGTTTTTCTCAACTGATCTGAAGATCAAAGCATAATATCTTACGTAGAACTGTTTTAATAGTATTTTTACAGTGAACTTGCCCAGGTTTTTTTATGCCTTATTTTTTTGCTATGTTTACTGTAGGTTGCACAAGAACTTTTACTCTCTTGTAATTGTGCCTCAGACTTCTTGAAAGTTCACCTTTTAAATTGCCCAGATTAAATGATCTTCTAGATTCTACATGGTTTATTCTTGTGCTTTCTGTATTTAAAACTTTGGCTGTACTAAGCAAATGCAAGGTTATAAATTTAGCTAATAGTAGTTTACAGACAATTCAGATGATTATGATTTCATTTGGTTTAACTAAACTGTACTAGTTCATTTCATAAGGAAATGATGCTGTAGACAAATGTAAATAAAGCCTGTGAGTCAAGCATCAAGTGGTGTTTGTTAAAAATAAACTAGATTTTTAAACTCTGATCTGATGTTCAAATCACAGTGTTGTTTGTTACATTTGATTGCACATTTTGAACTATATCCACTTAGCATTGTTGTTTTGTAACCTTGTTTTTATATATGAATCCTTGGTTTAAAACATTCCAAAATCATGATCCCTGCAAAGGTGGGTGTTGAATGCTTATTTTCAGAACTTTACATACCTTTTTCGATGTGATAAAGTAGGGGCACATCAAAGTGTGCTACCTGATTTTTTTTTTTTTTTTTTTTAGCTAATTATGTCTCTTTCAGTTTTGTTGAGAACATCACAGCAAAACATAAACTGACTCAAATGTTTCTACATGTACAATTCAGTGGCATTAGTTCACGTTGTGCAGCCATTCTCACTCTTCTGTTCTGAGTTGTTCTTCCCCCATTAACATAAACTCACTGCCCCCTGAGGTACCTATCTAGTCTTTCCAGTTGCTTTTGTCACTTTGATACCACATAGATATTTCTTAAAAAAGCCCAATGCTCAAGGCAGACATTTTTTACTAGTTAAGTTAAACTATTGTTTAGTTTTAAAAAGACTTCAGAGGATGTTTTTTATTTACATTTTAAAGATTATCTCAGGGCAGTAGTTTCAGGGACTTATAAAAAGACTTGAAAAGACAAACATATAGAGACCAAAGGTATTAGTGCTTACCAAGGGCAGAAGGGAAGGGGAAAAAGGAGGCTAATGGTGATGGGATAAACACACTGATTAAAGGTTGGGGTTGCAGTGGATTTTTGTTATTATTGTCAATAAGTTGTATACCTGTAAAATGTTGAACTGGCAAAAGTGTGATAAACTGCTGTCAAATCAGTTTGGACTCATAGCAACCCCTCCTTGGGTTTCTGAGGCAGTATCTCTATGGAAGTAGATTGTTCCAGTCTTCCTTCTTAGGAGTGGCCAGTGGTTTTGAACCTCCAGCCTTCTGGTTAGCAGTCAAATGCCTTAGGTACTGTGCCACCAGAGTTCCAATAGTGTGGTAGGTATATTTATAATAGTTATCTCCCCCCCCCAGAAAAAAAAAAAAAAAAGAAAAGTAGTTGCTAAGTCTGTTTATTGTTTATGTACAACCAAATACCTCATGGGATTTAGTTCCTTAGTTTTGGAGTTTAGGGTCATGGTCTCATGGACATCCCAGTTAATTGGCTTGATAAACTGTTTTCACTTTAGAGCATTTAGCACCTGTCCTTTTAATTGCTAAGTTTTCGTTTGAAATCCTTTCATCTAAGTAATGTTGAGTGATATCTAGTACTATGTCCAAGTTCAGAGCAAAGCTCTAAATGAAAGAACGTCTCTTCACAGAATCATGAAGGTGTAAAGAAGGTCTTTGTTTCTCATCTCCCCTTCTTGCTTTCTAGTATTCATAGCTGGTATTGTGGATATTGGTAAGAAATTGGAGAACTTTTCCATTCTACCTCCTATTTTTTATATCATTGGCAGATCATTTATTTATTTATTTATTTATTTTACTTAATACAGATAGCCTCATAACTTTCCTGACCTGGAAATTGTATTATTTCTAGAAAATAAAGTAGAGCGCTTTGATTATTAACAGACACATTTTAAGGTACCTAATAAGTGATTTATATGCATTATCTAATTCTGTCAGTCATTATATAGCCCATGTTTTACAAAAAGAGGGTCAAGGCTTAAGGAAATTAAAAACTTACACAAAGAAGCCACTAAGTGGCTAAGTGGAGTTTCGTCCCGACATCTCCAACTCTGATCTCAGATCTCATTATTACCTCTAATAACTAAATAACCTTTTGGAAAAGGTAAATTTGAAAACATGAAACAAAAGTAACATTTAGCAGTTTGGTAGAGGTAGAATTTTAGTTCTTTATAGATTAGATAGCTAGACAGAGATATATATATATGTGTGTGTGTTTGTGTAAATAATTTTGGAATTATTTTTGATGTATAGACAGGTTGTATAGATTATACAGTGATTTTCAAAGATCCCTCACTCAGTTTCCCTTGTTGTTAACTCTAATGCTATCATGGAATATTTGTCAAAAACTAAGAAACCAACATCGGTACATTACTAAACTCCACATTTTATTTGAACATAATCAGTTTTTCCATTAACACTCACTTTCTGCCGTAGGATCCAGTCCAGGGTACAGTGTGACATTTAGTTGTCATATCTCCACAGTCTCCACAGACAGACTGTGAGAGTCAGTTTTTCTGTTTTTCATGACCTTGACAGTCCTGAGGAATGCTAGACAGAAATCCTGTAGTGTTCCCACATCTAGATTTGTTATTTTACTCATAATTAGACTACTTTTTGAGAAGGACGACTACAAAGATGAAGTGCCCTTATCTGATCATATCAGGGATGGATAATATCAACATGACATCACTGATGATGTTAACCATCATCGCTTGGTTAATGTAGTGTTTGCTTAGATTCATCGCTGTGAAGTACTTTTTTTCCTTTAACTTCAGTTCTTTAGAAACCAATTACTAAGTGTACCCCCTCCTTAAAGTGGAGAAAAAACAAAAAAAAGAAAAAACTCATTGCTGTCGAGTCAATTTGACTCATGGTGATCCCTCCTTGGGTTTCCGGGCTGGTATCTCTGGAAGTAGATTGCCCAATCTTCCTTCTGTGGGGTGACTGGTGGGTTTGAACTGCCTGCCTTCTGGTTAGCAGTCACATGCCTTAAGCACTGCAAATTCTACCACCCATAGAGGAGAGTATCTTAGACTATTTAGATTAGTAAAAATGATTTGTCTCTTTCCCAAATATTGATGTATGTATGGACTCATGTATATTTACTTCACAAATGCTTACATAAATACCTGGCATGTAAGTATACAGGAAATACTGTATTTCCAACCCCTACCTGTGTCTTTAAAGCTTCATATACACTAATCTGAGATGCTTATTTTCTGCCTCCTCTTTCCAGAGCACTAGATCCATATATCTAACTGCTGCCTGTCTGCTTTCCTTTACCAAATGACCTATTTCACCATGGCTAAAAATTTCCACCAAAGCTAGTATCTTACATTGATAAAAAGCATGATCAGAAATTTGAAAATTCTTTCTAGATTTACCTTATGCATCCCCATTCGAAATCTGATTTACCTAAAAATTATATTCTTTCACCCTTCAAACCTATATAGCTCCATTAACAATGCCACTACTTTTTTATTTATAGGTGAGATCATGGAAATGGTCAGTGGCCTCCAGTCTTTTATAGTATTCAGAAGTATTTGTTAAGAATTTGTTTTCACAAGGTATTGATCCTTTCTTTACACGGGGCTGGCTAGGATGATCTTACTAAGCATTTCTGTTCATGTAATTGCTTAAAACCTTTTATTCCTTGTCATGGGTTTCATATGAAACCTTGATTTTTTTTTTTTTTTTTTTTTTCAAATTGTGATTTCTATGAAAGTTTACAGAACAAATTCATTTTCCATACAATAGGTCATACACATTTTGTTTCATGACATTGATTGCGATTCCCACAATGCAACAGTGCTCTACCTACTTCCTCCCTGTGGTTACCTTTTCCCTGTGTTCTCCTTTCCTATGCATTCCTGCCTTCTGAACTCTCCCTGTGCAAATACTGCCCTTCTGATCTCCCACAGTTGATCATTCTAAGGAGTGCACCTACCTGGTGTAAATATTCACCTTATATGCTTGTTTATTGTTTGGCTGGAAGCCACAGGAGTGAGTGCAGTTTTGGGCCCAAAGGGTGACTAGAGACCATAGTCTTAGAGGTGTCACCAGTCTCTATCAGACTGGTAAGCCCAGTCTTTACAAGCTAGAGTCTTGTTCTACATTTTTCTCCCACTCTATCTAGTGTGTTGTATTTTGATCCCTTTGTGAGTGGTTGACTGTGGTAGCTAGGCACCATCTAGTTCTGGTTTCAGGATCATGTAGGCTGAAGTTCACATGGTCTACTAGTGCCTTAGACTGTTTCCATGTGTCTGGTTTTCTTCATTCTTTGCTCCAGAAGAAGAGAGAACAATTATTACATCTTAAATAACCTCTCACAAGCTTTTAAGACCCCAGTCACTACTCACCAGAATAGGATGTAGGACAGTTTTTTGGGGGGTACTATGTTATGCCAATTGAGCTTAGTGTCCCCAGCAGCCATTGTCCCAAGCCCGTGGGCCTAAAGAGTCATTCCCTCAAGGTGTTTGGCTGTCGCTAACCAGTTATCATCACTTTTAATAAATCTTAGAGATAAGTCCTTTGTCAGATAGGTCATTGCCAAATATTTTTCCCATTCTTTGGGTTTTCTTCTTACTGTTTTGGAGAAGTCTTTTGATGCACA